ACCTCACAGACTTCCCTTTGTTGCGTGACCGTGACAAATGGTTTATTTATATGAGCTCTAGAGCTGGCGACCGTCGCTTGCCTTTCACCAGGGCACAGAAAAACGGGCTGGTTTCAGCCATAAACATATCATTCGGGAACATAGGAGGTCAGGATGACAAACAGCCGGTGTCTCTCTTCTCTCGCTTTCTTTTGTCTAATACAGATAAGAAAAGATAGAATAAAAAATGACTGGAAAAATAAAGTAAACGGCAGCTTTACAGAACTATTTACAATTTTTTTAATGACGTTGCGGATATTAGCCTTCATTAGCAGAACAGCGACGAGAAACACAACACAACAATCAAAACAGTAAGGGTCCCTTAACACACCACTGGTTCATGGAAGTCATTTGCTAGTCTCATATGTTTATAGAACAACCCGTCACTGGTGGGCCATATGGTCAACATCACGCCGATCGCCTTTATTTTCCACGACTTTACCTAAAGACACCCATAACAAAGCAATATATTCTTTATTCGTCATTAAGACATCCATAAGTATTACCGCCAAGAAATAGATTATGAACGGCATATTCATACCAACACTGTTCTAGCAGTGGAAAACATGGACGTTATCAAAGGTTAGCTACATAAAATTAGCATCTGTGAAATCAGATGTCTGAGGGAATCCACCTACTTAACCAACAGAGACAAAGTGAGAAACTGCATTGTTAGACAGACCATGGAAACAAAATCATGCAGCAAATTCACTGAGAAAATATCAAATGGTTTAGTCATCTCGTTAGAATGCAACCAGAACAACTACCAATCCAGGCGCTACACAGTTTACAGGAGTACATGCTACTAAGTTGAAGAGGGGTCGGGTGCTGTAAAACATATTCAGTCAGATAGGTACCGTAAAACTAACAGATTCAGTCAGTTAGGTGCTGTAAAGCTGACAAATGCATTCAAGTATAAAGCTAACAACCTCAAACAAAGTCACAAAGTCCACAGATGAACTAACAACCAGGGCCTTTTTTTTTAACCGAAACTGAAAGCCGGTGAAAGCAAACAAACACAACGTTCAGTTCTATAAAATGCTAAATAAACTATAACAGTCCCACTGCAGGACAAAAGGCGGACAGTATTTAGAAGATAAAGACAGAAGACGCTAGCTTTCCAAACAGGACCCCGACCGGCTACAGACAGATCAAACGTAATGGACGCGGACAATAAACCGCTGCGTGATCACTAGAGAGAACAATGGACACAAACCTGCTGTAGCAAGTATACTTTACTCAGGGACTCAGGCGGAATAAGCCAGTGAAAGAGGGTCAGGAACTGAAAGCGACTGTTGCTGAGTGGCAATGAAAACATCCACCCTAACTAGCATACAGCTCCAGTACTTACAAGGGGGAAAATATGATGACATGTCGCTAAATGGAACAAAAGGCCTGCGGTCTTTCAAACTGGAGGTCTTTAATGGTCCAGGGCAGGAAAGCTTTCGAACCAAGTTTGATGTTATCCCGAGGCTTTGAGATTTATATACCGCACTCGTGATAAAGATCGAGCACTCTTCTGTTAAAACATTAATGGAAAAGTAGGGGGCATGGGGGGAGGGGGGTGGGGGACTTCCAAAGCCATTTCACACCTGACTGATGACAGCAAAGGAAAAGCGGCGGACATTAAAACATAAGAGCACAGCCTGGTTCAAGAGTCGCCCATAAAATTTCGGTATATCAAAAAAGAAATAATTGCATGTGAAAATATAAATAAAAGGGAAATGCATGGAGAGACACACACATAAAAATGATATTCAGATATGATGAAAGCCTATGCGAAGAGTGAATTAAGTGAGACATTATTTTAAGTAGGGGGGGGGGGGAGAGAGAATATCCCTGTTATGAAAACACAGAAGGGCGAATTGCTAATGCCTTCTACCGAGGGATAGAGAGAACGGCGGTTGGACAATCAGTCCCTATACAAGGCCGTAAAGCCTAATGAAAACAAGACGACACAAAGAGAGGAATAGCAATCGGGGACATAAAATATTTTGATGGCCCGCGTCCTCGCAGCAGAGAAACGCATTGCCGTGCCAGGCTCTAAGAAAACGGCGCACATTTACAGTGTAATGAGGCTTGGTCTGGTCGTTAACTGCTTTCCAGACATTGGAAGCCGCTCTGGCAATCAAACGCTACTGGAGAAATGCACAACTTAGCACGGTGCTTGCCTCTTCTATGAGAATCGTTTGGCTGCGAGAGAGGCGGGTAAAATTGCCTCTTTTGATGTGCCTTTTCCCACACTCGCGTCTTTTCTATTCATCCGCCAGCAGGAACGAAACGAATCAGCGGCCGGGGCAGAAAAGAAAAGAAAAAAAAAACAGGATGTTACCACCATCTTTCCCTCTTATCCGTTTCATTGTTAAGCAAATCTAACTGAAGTTATTAGGTCGCTAGAGCGTGAATTGGTCTTATAGCTACACCTCTTTTATCAAAGTTAAACTTTTACTTTTTTTTTTTCCCTCGAACATAAAATATCAACCTAGTGTGCGTTTTCTAAGTTTATATTTTTTAAGCTGAACTAAAGCCAGGTTTAGACAGCGTTGGGGCTTTTATTGCCAATATTACTTTTATTTTTTAACCAAGTGACATATATCCCCGACTTCAAAGGGCCGAGTTGCAACAGCGCTGAGAGCTTTCTCACATATGGGAGCAATGATTTTCATCAGCCGCGGAAAAAGGGCCAGCGCGATATACACAAAAGCAGTGAACTGATTGTGTCAGCCGAGGGGTTGTGGGGGGGGGGGGTGATCTGTTCTTTAGAAGCTGGGGAAGAAGGGGGGGGGGGCATTGTCAATAGCTTTTAAACAGAATTTATCAGCTTGCTTTGCCTTTGCTAGGGAAACATCTTTTTTCTTTTCTTATCTGGTTGTTGATCATATATCTTTTCTTATCTTGTATATTACAAAAACCCTATACTCTCTTACCTTTTAACCACCTTTATTCCCCGACATCTTTCAAACACCTTTATTCCCCGACTGGGAACCAGGACTTGAAAAAAAGGGGGGAGGGGGGGAGACTCACTTCCACTTAACAAGCATGTCGTACACAGCGACTAACTAAGAACACATTGAAGCTGTGGATGTGTTGGACGGAAAGGCGCACATATCGCAGTCTAGCTGTAAACCAACAGCCCTTTTAATGGTGGACGAACTACAACCTTTTTCAAATTCAAAATAGCTACAATCATCGCAGAAACATTTATGTCCTCGTGTGTGTTTTCCTCCAGGATTGCAGTCTGTATAGGTAACATCTCAAGGATGAGAATCACACAGGTACAGGTTTCGGCTCAACCATATAAAAGATACTTTTCCACACCATTAGGCGGGGCATTAAGGCTAGCCCTATATTTTATAGACCAATCCGCTCTTCGTAGGTGATGTGGTCAACACTACGCCAGTCGCCTTTGCTTCCCAGGACTTTTAACTAGTACCCATTCAAGGCAGAGTCGACCTCGGGGTCAAGTCTATTTTTGAAAAAAAAGTTCAGTTTCGTCAGGTTCCGAACCGACCACCTTTCGAACTGCTGGCGAGTGTCTACTAGCTGCTACATCCCGGCGGCTCCCTTTAACCATAAAGCACAATAATACCAGGGCACTACAAAATAACCTGCAGTCCGGTGTGAATGTCTTCAGTTTGTGCGTGTGGGGGGGGGTGGGGGGTGCGGGTGGAGCCAAGCAACGAAGTAACTAGAGGTCTGCCTGCCCATCTGAAGGTCTTGGCTCAAGTCTTCTTTTTCCTCTTCGCTGTGAACTGAGGCGGAAATTTCTAGCTGGTCGACCACTTCTGGACTCTAGTAATGCTCCAGAGCCTATGTTGCGTGCACATCCGCTTCATAGATCTGACATCTGTGTGCAGACTGTTGGTTCCTTGCCTCGCAGGCAGATGCACTCCGACCTTGAAAGATGCTCCCAATTAGTAGACAGGCTTTTCAGTAGGCAGCGGAGAGGGGGTGTCTATTTTTAGCCCCTCCCCCTCCCATCCCCTACCAACAAAAACGGGCCCCAGAACCTAACCAACACAGGGATACAGCCAGCGACATTCTCCATACATGCCCCCGCCCACTCTAATGTCTCTCCCCCCCAGTGTGTGTGTGTGTGTGTGTGTGTGTGTGTGTGTGTGTGTGTACGTGCTTCTCAGCTTTCTCAGAGCAATAGCTCAGAGTGTGGCTTCCGGGGCCCTATTGTGGGTGAGGAAAACAAGATTCCATCTTTTGAAGTCAAAGTGCATGTGTCTGAGAGGCAAGGAACCAACAGTCTGCATATAAATAAGTCAGATCTGCAAAATGGATATGCACTTGGGTTCTAAAACAGGACTACAGTCCAGAATTTTGCGCTGGTGAACACGAAGAGGAAAGAAGAAGTACAGCTGCAACCATCTCTCTCTCTCTCAATTAATACAGGAACTAAAGCTGCTGTTCTCAGCCTGTAGGTCGCAAAAGTGTTAAGAGGTGCTTTCACAATGTCCTACCACAAACAGGGGAAATCCACAGGTCTCAGGACTGTCTAATATTTCAGGGGGTGGTAGATAGGCTGCATGCAGTCGTGGGACCTAGGTTGCATGCAGTCGTAGGACCTAAGCTGCACTCTCTCGTGGGACGTACGTGGGTTTGGGTTAGAGTCTTTTCTAAATGTTTTGTGGTCGTTAGAAGCATCAAAAAGCTGGGAAATCCAATCTTACCACCCTCTAAAATGATGGATTGTCCTGTGACGTCATCTGGGGTAGGATACTACAAAAGAACAGACTGAGAACCACTAAACTAGACGATTATCTCTTTCCTTTTCAAAACAGCAAGCAACCACTAGCAAAACGCCACACCCACCACCCACCTTCCTCCTCACAATGCTTCCTTCTACCCTTCCCAAAGCCCACCATGGTAAACAAATCAGTTGTGAAAAGAACTTTGAAGACCGCAGTTCTTGGGCCCAGTACAAACGAACACACGTTGCTGTCTGTACTCACCTTCCGTGAGATTGCGGCCAGGGTTGAAGGCCCCGCGCGGTATGCTTGGGGGTATCAGGTCACAGCTGGTGTGTCGCGCTATCTTACAGCCGTAGAGACTGTGCCACCTGAAACATACATAAGCAGCCCTTCTCAGCAGTTGTGTCTTTTACATTTTATACCCACACACACAGGGATGATAGTGTAGACAGACAGATATACATACAGAAACAAAGAAAGCACATAATAAAGAAAATGACAAACAAAAAGACCCAAAAAAGGGCCAGAACAGATTTCGTCAACATATGTTCAAATGTTTCGGTGTAGGGAATACGGAGACGTGTCCCTGCAGTGTGGCACCCGAAAATGCTGAGCATGTGCTCCAACACTGTCAACTGTATGCTGACAACAGAGACGCAATATAGCCTGTTCCAACCACAATGCAGACAAAACTGTATGGTACACGAGAATATATGGATTGCACGATAGCTTTCTCAAAGGCTCTGGCCTTCTGATATAAGTTTTCTGACAGAAGGATCGAAGAAGAAGAAGAAGAAGAAGAAGAAGAAGAAGAAGAAGAAGAAGAAGAAGAAGAAGAAGAAGAAGACACCAGAAAGAAAAACTGGGATTTTTTTTTTAAAAATGTATGGTACACGAGAAGATATGGATTGCACGATAGCTTTCATAAAGGCTACCGGCCTCCTGATATAAGTTTTCTGACAAAAGAAGACACCAGAAAGAAAAACTAAAATAAAAAAACAAGAAAGAACACATGGCACGGTACAAAAACAAATGTACTAGAGAGGAAAGTACCAAGTACAATCTCCCTAGCACCAGTGACGATATCTGTGGATCACTGGCGAAGTGGTCAAAGCGTTCTTCTTGAGCACTAAAGGTCGTAGATTCGTTTCAGAACGCGTCGTTCCGTTCAAATGTGCCCTTTATACGAAGACCTCTGGTGGATCCTCGCTGGAGCTATGGAGTGTGCGCTCTCAGCAGGCGGATAGCAGTTCTTGCGGAGAGAGGCCGAGCCATATGGGATAAAAATCAGTGCAGTGAAGTGGATCCTCTCGACTTCAATTTTCAACTTTATCACATCTGGCCCGCCGATAATGCCCTGGTCAATAACGATGAGAGGCTACCATTAAATACCCGATGATACAAACAGTTACAGAGTAATAAAGATGCCTTGAAAGAAACTGACTCACCAAGAGAACTAACTGCCTACATCAGATGGAGACAATCTAAATGATTTAGTCATGTCAAGATAGGGAGAAAACTGCCTTACATCGTGGCGACGCGAAAGCTGGAGGGAAGGAGAGACAGGGGCAGTTGGAGAAAATCCTGGACAGTGTGACATCATAACACGGAAGATCATCTGTGTCAGAAACCAACGACACAGAATGTTGTGGATAGCCTGACTACCAACATCCCGAGGTATAGACTGTGAGAAGAAGACACAAACTTAAACTGTCTCAGAGAATCAAATAAAATATAAAAATCTCCGTTGGCACCAGAAGACAAGCAGACGGAAATGGAAAGCAGGGAACACAACAACAAAAAATAACAATCCAGGGCGCCACACAAGCTCAAAATATTATTAATCTTATCTGTGTTTCATTTATTTATTCTCCAGCCCTAGACAGCCCCAACCACATCTATCATAATAAGTTTCTCATCAAAGCCACACACACGCACAAAAACCACCTCACACAAATTTACTACCAGTCTTTCTCGCACCAGTTTGCCGATCTTCAGGCAGTGCGACTAGACTGGTACAATAATCAATTCAGTTTGGGAAGGCTAATGAAAACGATACACAAAATACGTGCAGAAAATCAATCATTCGCAGTCAGAGAAGGCAAGAATATCATGGCAATAAAAACTTGCAGATGGTGGGTCTGCATCAATAAGAAGGCAACACTAGGTTCCCGCTCGTGAAAGTTATGCTGGTCTGGGAGAAAGAAAACCATTAAAGAGTAGAAACTATTACAAGTTTGAAAGATGAATAAAAGAAAAACATGGTTGGGCTGAAAAGTATGTGACTTGTCAGCTAAACGATGCTAAGAACATCTGGCAATAGAAGTGTTCAAATGCTGAGTTGCCAGGCAGCACCAATCATCATAACATTAGGTGTCATTGGATCACAATTTGTTGTTGACCACCGGATCAGATCCCTCGACCTCTGTAGGTCAGACATAATGATCTTACTGTTTGCATGAGGGTTGCAGTAAACTAGAATAAGAAACCTGGATATAAATTTCAGGCAAATTATATCATGAATCACTGGATTGGACCATGTGATGTGGGACAAATTCTCTACCTAACTTTGAATTTGTCATTCTGTCACATCAGTAAATCCCTATATTCTGAAGAAGAAGAAGAAGAAGAAGAAGAAGAAGAAGAAGAAGAAGAAGAAAAAGAAGAAGAAGAAGAAGAAGAAGAAGAAGAAGAAGAAACTCGTCAGTCCAACCTATTCCTGCTCCGTCCTCCCATACAGCAGACAACTCGATGTCTCTGTGATCAAACTACCCAGGAGAAGTTGACTGGTATATCAATCTTCTTTCTTTTGCCTTACAGCCAGTTTCTGCATGCATGTCCTTGTTTAATATGCATGTCCTTGTTTAATACCCATTTCCAGGAAGCAGGCCTATCACATATGACTAAGTTGTCTCACATCTCTGAAACATAGCGCATTGTCCATATCTGCTCTGTCTAGAACTCTTTCTCCTGATGTCGTTCCCTTTGTGGGGTGCACTTTGTTATTTTGAAGCCCCACCTTGTCTTGTGCGGGGCCCCTCAATATAGCAGGGCCTAATGGCTGAACAGGGTTTCCGGAACCTCTCCAGGGGTGATCTTTATTACCTCTGTCAATTCTTTGATTTCATTTCATCCCCAGCACCTTCCAATGTGTACAGCCAAAAAGGTTTTACGAGGCAGGACATCCGGATAGCAGTTGGCCAGTTTCGTTCTTTTTAAGCTTGCTTAATGAGTCTGTCACTATCAATGCATGAGTCGCTTTCTGTTCCGCCTGTCATGCAAGTGCTCCCGTTTAAAGCTGCTAGAGACTGATGTCCATTCTCATTCTCCCAAAGTCATGGTCTATAGACAACCTTTATTGTGGAGACAGCACACACATTTTAATGGAGGAATTATACTTACTGGAATTCCTTGCATGGCATGGCACAACAGCTGTATCCCAAAGTGATTGGCTGCTTGACGTGGAACTTGTACAAGTTCTCCACGGTGATCTTGTTGGTGCGCAACACTTGCAAGTACTTCCGGAATCGCAGTCGTAACCTTTCTGCAATCTGTTGAGATAATTTATAACGGGAAATGACATCCAAACACTTGACTTGGCATGCGGATTATGTGTACCATTTTCGCTTAAAAGTGGACAATTCTTCAAACCAACTAGAGCGGTTTTTTTTTTTTCAACACAACTAGATGATTCTCAAATCTTCTGAAAATATATGTGAGCTTGTTATACAAGTCTTAGGTCAATGTGTCTCGTTTAGTTTAATGGGAACCCCTGTCCTATGTGGTCTGAAAATCATCTAGCTTGATTCGAAACACATACTCATACAAAAACAGCAAATCCATCTGTCTGTCACAAGAACCCATACTCACCGGTGAAAAGTAGCGAGGTGAAATTTGCACGTTATTCTGACTACTATGCCTAGATCAACGGTGCTATTTGTCATGCTGCAAACTAACGCCACATTCACTAACCATTAACATTCGCTGGAGTTATTTCCCTTAAGCAGTTAAATATGTTGTATGCCCCTGAAGAATAAGCACTTTACTTTTAAGCTGAGGGAGCCAACGTTAGCGCAAAAGCTAGACAAGTATTTCTCAAAGTGGGGGCTAATGCCCCCTGGGGGCGCAGTGCAACGGCCGCAACCTAGGGTGTAGGCAGGGGCAGTAACGCGGTAAAGCAGAAAATGGAAAAAATAAAATTCTCACTAACTGTCAAGGACGAACTGTTCACGAAGTTGAAGTAAAGATGAATAAGACAATGAGAACACACGATACTAACACAGTTTTAAATAGCTCTATGAATCCTTATCTACTGACATGACTAGCGTTCTCAAAGAAGATAACTTACCGCTTCCAATCTTTCGTTCTCCTTCCGTGATCTTTCTTCGTATGGAAGGGAATCATATATAGCCTGAAAACAAAGAAAATATCACATATAATTATTGTAAACTGCATAAAGATTACCCAAATTAAACATAACAAACATAATTTTTCTACACCTATTAATATTAGTACACTCGCCAGTCGGTCTGGAAGTATTAAGTTCGAATAAGCACCGAGACAAAGATTAATAACTGACCTAGGCCTCACAGCCTAAAATAGATCCCACGAAATGTTATGGGAAGCAATGTGGTGTTCAGTATATCACCAGTGAGTGACGACTGTCATTGTCAAAAACATGGGTCTAGCACAATATGCATCAAGCGATAATGACCAATGATGTGGTATGTGGCCTTAATATCCTTACATGGGCGAAGTGACACCACTGAGGAATATTTGTTTCCACGCTCCCATTCCGTGTCCTTTTAACGCCTTTAACTGCCATCCCCCCCCCCCCCAATCCAAGCAAAGACTAAATATACATATGATTACATATAAATCACAAACCATTTCCGTATTTCGTGTGTTAATTATATAGGAAGTGTTAACTCCTCCCAGACCGTGAACCAAATACGGGTTAAATCTGTAAATGCTATAAGGACTGTAATCTTTAATTTAAGTCACACTGACGGCCAGGGTTACTGCGCATTTCTTTATTTATTGAGACAATCAGTAAAGGTAAACTTTTGCTTGAGCTTCATACTTTTTCTTTCCTATTTTTACTCCCTTAAAAAGATAAGCGTTAATTAAAAAATTATATTTTCGCTGTTATCTTCCGTGAAACCATGTGTGTGTGTGACAAACCCCCACCCCCCCCCCCCTCCCAACCGTTAAATACTGGTGCTAGTGTTACAGGGGAAGCCTCGAGTGCACTTAGGAGCAACGACTAAAGTTACGGCAGCGGTAGAGACAAAGATGAAGTAGAAGACGGGATATAAAAATATAGGGTTTTAGTTAGGCCTAGCCTTGAGTGGGTACCAGGTAAAGTCCTGACCACATCAACACCGCGTGCCAGTTTGTCTATAAAATACAAGTCCAGCTCTATATGCCCACTATGCAGTGAGATGCGGAAAATGCCCCTTTACCTACTATAAATATACACACACACACACATATACACGCGCCAGGTCGACCCAATATAAAATGAGTGTCATTCACGACCAGCTCCAGCTGACGGGCCGTGCTGCTGAGATCACTGGGTCGGGCTAAAAAGGCGTTAAAGCAGCGGCTCTCAGATAAGAAACTATTTTCGACAGTGGCGTGGGAAGACAACTTTAACTTTTGAAGAATCTACATGCCTTCTTTAATATTTTCACAATTTTTAGCCGACTTTTCTTGATTATGGCCACGGCATACGCTCATGGCACCCCAGAGTGCCTCGGCACTCAGTTTGAGAACCGCTGCGTTAACGCGTAGGAGATCCGACCCGGTGACGTCAGCAGCACGGTCCGTCAACTGCAGCCGGTCGTGGCCAGCTAGTCCTGACCACACACCCAACTGATTAGTTTATTTTAAAAAATGAGTCTAGCCTCATAAGCCAGACAGGCTACTGGTGCGAACAACAAAAGACTGCGTGCGTGTGTGCGCGGGCGCGCTATCTTCCTTTCCCTACCAATATACGCAATACAATCAAGCAGACTTCGCTAAAACAAAACACACAAAAAGTCCACTTCCTGCCCACAAAAGAACACTACGGTGAGACACTCTTCAAGCCACATCTTAAACAACCCATCAAGACAAGTTTCAAAGAAGCAGCTTTTTTTTTATGAAAGCCCATCAAGTTTGACGTTTTGAGCCAGCTTTAAAAGAATACCCTTGTCTACTGCCGTAATCTTCAAACTGAAAAGACGGTCGGTCGATCAAGAACTGATGTCTGAGCAAATGTAAAGAAGATGTAAATTAATCCTCCAGTTTAAAGTTACAAAAGAGTGACTGACATCACTAGGTTCCACATCAACCATTAGCGGCTCGGTTTTTTTTAAGAATGGAAAAAGAACCAGAAAGGAAAAAAATGAGAATATACTATAACCACTGCCCTCCTCCTAACACTCATGTTGAAAAAGGTGATTAATTGGTTGATGTTTCCTTCGAAGATGTTGCGTATCGTCCAGAGATGAACCAACAGTCTGCATACATATAAGCCAAATCAGTTTTTTTTTAAAGTATGCGCGCGCACAAAACTCTAGTTCTGGGACTAGATCAAAGTCCGGAAGAACCCCCCCCCCCCGGTAGCTCAAGTGCAAACACGCGGAAAATATCGGGTTTTAACAGAATGAGTTCTTTCAGATTCTCTCTCATCAGCAACAACAAAAAATAAGACAAGGAGGGACTGAAGTAATGAAATCAAAATGGCACAACTAAGAGACACTAACAAATAAAGGGATTAAAAAATGTTAATACCGCAGCCAGGCTTAAAAAGGGACAAATACCCGCAACGCGCGCGCGCGCACACACACACATACGGGCTATAAAATCAACAGGCAGACCCGCATAGACATAAACGCAAAACAAAACATTCACACACAACAGACAAACTTCCCAACGCCGAATGTGCGACATAATTGTGTATGCATGAGAACGTTTAATGGCCCATCCAGCTTCAAAGCGGCTCTGGCTCTCAGGTGGCAAAAATGTGGCGGCGAATAGCTCCGGGTAGGCGTTGAGAGAAAACAGATAAAACGTGGAAACACGCTGACATCAAATGGAGAATGGCACCAGGGAGGAAAAAATACGTGAGGATCAAAGTCGTTTGTGCGGAGCAAGGGGGATTTTGTTTTTAAGGAAAGGAGTGGAATAGAGTGAAACAGCAGCCACTGGTGTTTTCCTGTTACCAGACTTCTTTGTCCATCCAGATACAGTATAGGTCTATGGTCTTTCAGATTCTGCGAGTAAAAGAAAGATGAATTTCTTCTTCTTCTGATGCTAACACGATTGCGTGAATGGAAGTAAAGCCTTATGAAGCACGTCTATGCCGCCTTTGAGGCCGAGATAGGAGACATAACCAACCACTCATGGAAACAATTAGAAGAAATACCTTAAAGTTGCTGCATCAGAACAGTCAGCAAGCTTGGAAACGTCCAACGTGCAGTAACGTAAATTATGATATCCCCTTCTCCTTTCTGCGTTCGCTCCCTTGGAACTTTGTATTGTGGTTTACAGCTCGGCCCAACACATGGATTTCAGCAACCTCCTAACTAGTCGCCTCTAACGGTAAGCTTCTTTTTCCCCGTCGGAAATATGGCCATGGAACTCAGGTGAGGAGCTGCACTACATTAGATCAGAAATACCTCAAGTAATCTGTATCTTCTCCGCTGGCTGTAAACTCTAAAGTGGGAAGATCCATACGTTCGCCCACCACTGGACATCAGTCTTGTGCCAGAACCTGGGTGTTGCGTGCGTATCCGTTACCTAAATGTGACTTATTTGTATGCAGGCTGTTAGTTCCTTGCCTCTCAGGTAGGTGCACTACGACTTTGGAGAAAGCCTCCAGTTAGTTGACTCATGACATGCTTGTTGGGGAGGCAGTGGGTCTATTCTTGTTTTCCCAACAACTGGACTCGACACACGAATCTTCTGAAACGTTATGAGGCATTGTTCTGAATACAGTGGTAGTCAATGTTGTAATATGAACGACAAACTCCCTTATGAGTTTCGAAGACTCGTTTTGAGGGGAAAGAGAGAAAAAAAAAAGACCCAATGCCAAATATATGTTTCTAATGAAATCTGAAAGTATCTGACCGCCAGACGAAAACTGCATAGTCCAGCAGTGTTGCCACTTTGGATGTTTTACATCTAAATGTAGATGTTTTCCTTGCATTTAGATGACGTTTAAATGGTAAGATGTTTTTCTAGATTTTTATTTGGAGTGAATTTATCAAATCTAACCTAAGAAACAGGATCAAATTTGACCTCTTAATGCTATCTTGACAATAAAATTTTGCCTGATAAGAGTAGGAAAAGGCTGTTTCACTTTTCAGCTCCCTGATTGAGTATTAAGGGAAATTGAAACAGCTTAAGCATACCAGAGTCATTTTGGATCTGAAGTTTCGACATCATCATCCAAGCTAAGTTTATCCTGTGGATCTTGTAAGGCAAACTTCAGTAAAGATGACGACATGATTACATAGGGTAAGTCATATCAAATGCTATGTCTTCTTCTCCTTCGCGTTCACCAGCTGTAAACTCTGGCGGAAGGTTCTGGTTGCTCGTCCACTACTGAACTGCACTCCTGCTCCAGAACCTGAGTGTTGCGTGTGCATCAGTTTTACAGATCTCATTCTCTTGAATTCAGACTGTTGGTTCCTTGCCTCTCCGGCAGATGCACTCCGACTTCAAAGGAAGCTCCCCAATTAGTCGACTCTTACGACATGCTCTGGGGGAGGTAGTGGGTCTATTCTTGTTTTCCCTACAATGGGGCCCCGGAACGCACACGGGGAATTGCTATGTAATTTGTGACTCTTTCCATTTGGATGTTTTCCACGCAAATATAGATGTTTTCAGATATTTTTGACTCCGTTTTGAATGTTTTTTGTCAAAGAAAAGTGGCAACACTGTAGCCCAAATGTAAACCAAACACAAAAGAAGAACAATGGACATACATCGAGCTTGGATGCATAGATGTTTTTAATGTTATCAGTCGACATGACTGCTTGTTAGGCATACCTTATATAACTAGTACAGTGAACTTCATTCCAGATCCTAGCCGTACAGCTCGTCATATATATATATATATATATATATATATATATATATATATATATATATATATATATATATATATATATATATATATATATATATATATATATATATTTTTTTTTTTTTTGGGGGGGGGGGGGGGGCATTCCCATACGCACTGTCCATGCGTCAGCGTATGTGGATTAGGCGTTGCGAACGCGCTTCGTAATGCCGGGTTCGATCCCTGCTACAGACGATTAGTCTTGCGCTGCTTTCAGGTACCGAGAGCTGATTGTTCTGTTACAATGCCAAGCTACTGAACGTAAAATTTGCCTAGAAAGAAAAAAAAAACCA